AAATATTTTTTAAGTTTTAGAATATAAATGTGGAGAATAACATATAAAAATATCTCCTTTCATTTAATTAAAAAAACTCCAACAATCCCCCACATGAATGGAGAATTTTAGAAAACTTTTTAAAACCATGCAACCTTTGTGATTCAACTATGAAGAATTAATCGCATCTGGATAAGTAGGTTTCCCTTTGAACTTTCCATAGTGTATTTGTGGAAGTCACATATATATGTGTATTGATTAGCTTATATATAGTGTTCACAATTTTTGTAACAAAAGCTGGCATTCGTTTATATACGAACGTACCATTTTCAGTGATGTACATGACGGGATTCTTGTAACGATCTTTTGTATACTTCACTATTTCTCTCATACCCTTTGGATAAACCACGACGTTAGCCGAAGCAGCCTGTCACAGTTTGTGAAAAAGAAGATGAGAAAACATATGCCATTAAAAACTCAATCTTATAAGCCATACATACATACATATATATATATATATATAATATGATTCATACGCACCGTTGGGCCGATAGGAACTCCATTCTTCTCGGCTGCGAATTAACGACAAAAAAACGTCGAATCAATACATATATATATAGAATCACTGATGGTGCAAGATATTAAACTTACTTCTCCTGTCAGCATGTGCGTCAGTGGTGTATCTTGGTTTAGTAGGATCTACGTTCTTGAGATCGGCTGCGTAGTTGGTAGAATAGTAATTGATTCCGACATAATCGTAGGAGTTCTTGAGCTTCCGAGATTCGCTATGGCTGAACCGAGGCAATCGTTTCCCCAGAATTTTCTTCATGCTTTCTGGGTAATCCCCATATGTCATTGGATGCATGTGCCTACATATATACACACACATATATAAACAAATACAATACATGACATGTGAAGTTATATTCGTTTAGCCCATGATATACATACATATATATATATATTTTATTTATAATTACCATCCATATTCAAAGTCGAGGACTCGTTGGGCGGCTTCTTTATCAGCAGGAGTGTTGCTGTATGGAACGTACCATACCGGAGAGTGCGCCATTCCTATCTTGGCTTTGATGCTTTGGCACTATATATGTGTACGATTATCGTTCTTTGTTAAACATCGCGATAAATCACATATTATATGAAATGGTGATTTCACGCACGTGTTTTAAAAGATCTAAACGGGAAATAACTTGCGTACAACGATGATTTCATGCACTTTCAAAGGATTTGTATTGTATATACAATCCAAAGGACGTACGTACCTTTTTGCATTTCCTGAACTCCTGGACTCCGGCGGCGTGGGCGAGAAGAATGTTATGAGAAACGATGTAAGGCTCGGTGGCGGAATTACCTGCCTCGCACTCGGGATTTACGAATTTGGAGCATCTTCCCGGAGCCTTGATGCCTCGATCGTAACCGGCCACACTGTACACCTTTGGCTCGTTGAACGTCGCCCAGAATTTCACTTTGTCCCCAAACTCTTGGAAACATATCTTGGCGAATTTTCTATAGTCCTTGCTGAATATATAAAAAAAATGTTGAAATTACATCAAATGGTTGCGACAAAGTTTATTTCTAAATGGTTATAATTAATAAATGACATTTAATTGGTGAATTTAATAATAACTCACACGACTCGACGGCTCAAAAAGCCACCGTATTTGTCTTCAAGGACTTGAGGTAGATCCCAATGGAATAGAGTTACCGATACTTGCAAGCCTGCGTACGTGCGTGCATGCATGCATGCATGCAGAGTTCATGGTTCGTTATATGATGCGGCAATAAGTAAAGTCAATAATATATTGCTTTCGTGAGAGAAATTAAAAAAAAATATCGAGAACTAGGTTAAGTTTTGCTGTTTTTGGATACGGGTTTTTCGATTTTTTTTATGTTAAATTGGGTTATTTTCAAATTTTATATTATTTTTTTAATTTAATTCAAAATCGTTTCGTATTTGTATGCGTCGGGTCTTTCCTAACATAACCAAAACATCAAAATATGCAAATGGATTTCAGAATAGAAAGTTGACCATTTTTAACGAGCTCGTTGATGAGGCTTTTGTAGAACTTGATTCCCTCCATGTTCTTGTGGCTTCCTCCTCCTGAATTTACAAAACATTTAAGAAAAAATATTTAAATTAATTTTGCGAAGCTAAAAGTAAATCATTAATTTATTCAATAATCAAATACACTTACGAGGCAATATTCTCGACCATGAGATCGACATCCGGAAAACATCGCTGTTCAACTCCTTCATCAGCTTGATATCGTCCTGTTACATCATGTTCTTGCGTTATATATATAAATATATGTTTATCCATATCGAATGGTAAAAACGTTATAACAAGTGCGAGACCATTTCATTCAAACCACAGTTATTTACCTTGTAACGATGGTAAAAATCAGCCGCAACATCCCCGGTGTTGAAGTTGTTTCTCGCTGTACAACAAAAAATTATCGATTATATTTCGTCTCTATCGAATAAATCTGCTAAAAAAACGTTCAAAACCGAGAGAATAGAACTCGAGAAAGACATGGGAATTTATGAGTGAAAGTGTCCCATATGCTCGGAGATCTACCACCTTCATTCCACGCACCTTCGACCTGATCATTCAGACAAAACATCAAAACCCGAAAACACAAAAGAAAACCTAATTTCGAAGGTAACCATATATATATATATATATATATATATTTCAGATATGTGTACTTGGTAAGAAGCAGAGGCCGTTCCGAAGAGAAAATGTTTAGGAAAACAGCTCTGCAGCTTACGGCAAAGAAAAGCCACAGACCGATCGTTACCGCCTTTCGGGTCGCCATTGTTATGTAGAAATTGCTATCAGAAAAGTTTTCTTGGATTGGAAATAACGATAAACTATGAACCCTTTATATAGAGTTGAGCTCTACATGAAATGACAACATTTTTTTGTTTTAAGATCATATTTAAAAATCTATAGATAGAACAGTTTTCTTTGTCTTTGGCTGTATCCACTCTTATCTAATTGGAGTCAACAAAATTTTCAAATGGGTTTTTGTTTCGGTTGTGATTGTTGGCTTATGAACATGATCCTTTTCTGGTCTACGTTATTAACTAAAATCTTGTCTGAAACAAGAGAGAGATGGATAAATTTAGATGTCCATGACCATCTTTTTTTAATCCCTCGTTCTGTCTGCTGTAGTTTTTGTATCCGTTGTTTTGGAATATGTTATTTTTGTGTATATTGACTCATTGTTTACTTTTAGTTAAGACATCACATTTTTTTTTTCATGTTGACAGAGAGTTTAACTATGAAAAATACATCCCTAGAGTGGCATTTCACTTATAACCCGGTTATCAAAAAATTTCAAAATCTATTTTTTATTGGTCAAGTCTATGAGAGAATTTTGATATATTAAAATATCTTTGAATCTTTAACCAATTTACATTACTTGTATCTATATAAACTTTTCATAATTATTCAGATAATAAATTTTCAATTTTTTTCTTTTTACGGGGAAATATCCATTAAGTTTTAAATATCAAACAACAAATCCCTTGAAACAATTAGATGATGATCATCATGGCCATGGCCATGGGCATGTTGCAAATAATGACAAAGAGCAAAGGGCAAGTAGCTTCGTCATCATGACCATGGGCATCAATCTAATCCCAACTCAATAATGAGATCCTAAAAATGGGGCTAAGAGCTTTAAGACAAAACAAAGATAAAAACTTTTTCTTAAATTTTAAGCTATACTCATAAATTGAAAGCATAATCAAATCAACTCAAGAAAAGAATAGCTGCAAGGACAATGAGAATCATAGTACACTCATGATACCATCTTCTACTTCTGGTTGCCGCTGCTTGTACTCTTTTTCTTATGCAGATTCCCGAACTTTCAAAGCAAAGGCTTCCTTTTCTTGAGTTGCTGATCCTTTGTCAGTAGACTTCCACCGTCGTCGTCGGGAATTTCCATTGAAGATAACCCGTTGGTGAGATGATCGAAGTTATCTCCGCCTTCTACTTTTTTTCCAACTTCCTCTTCAACCGAGTCGTGCTCAGTCTCTCTTTCTGGAGAAGTTCCCTTCTTCTCTTTCGGGCAGCTTTCCCACATCTTCAATTCAGGTTTCACGGTATCTTCATCTCTCTGGTTCGGATTTCTTTTTCCATTTCCCTCAACCTTGGGAGCTGTCAAATGGGTTGCTCCATCATCCACCAAATCTTTGCCAGTCACTTCCTTGGGAGATTCTTTTATGTCTGGTTTCTGTCGGAGTGATGAGAAATCTCCGTTTTTGCTATTTCTTCCCCATTTCCATCATCATTGTCATTGACAACGCTCTATAACTCGGTTTCTTTATCTAGCAGACTCTCTTTTAGCTTTGACAACTCCTCTATCTTCCTTGTTGTCGATGCTTTCCGTGTTTTAAATTCATGATTTTCCTGAAGTACTCTTTGAAATTCATTTTCTTTACTGAGCCAACTTTGCTCAAGATGCAACAATTCCTTGGTCTTCTTCAAAGATGAAGCCTCCTTGGACTTAAGCTTTTTTTCATGAATGACACCCTGCAACTCATTCTCTTTCTCGACCAAACTTTGTTCCATATATGACAACTCCTCAATCTTCTAAAGTGATGAAGCTACTTTGGCCTTAAGCTTTTCGTTTTCGTTAATAGCAGCCTTGAGTTCATTTTCTTTATCGAGAAAACTTTGTTCAAGGATTGAAAACTCCTCAATTTTCTCAAGTGATGTGGCCTCCTTAGATCTGAGCTCCTCATTTTCAGAGATGAAACTCTGTAATTCATTCTCTTTAACGAGCAAACTCTTATTAAGATCTGATAACTCCTCGATCTTCTTTTGGAATAAAGATTTTTCAGCTTTAAGGTCTTCGATTTCGAGAATCAAACCATGCAACTCATTTTCATGAGTAGTGCTCTGCAGTTCAGTTTCTTTAGTTGCTAAGATCTTATTCACAGCCGACAGCTTCTCGATCTTTTTAAGATAAACAGACTCCCTTTCTCTCAGCTCCTCACTTTCCTGAACAACAGTTTACAGGTTTGTTTCTTTATCGACTAAGCTCTCATTCACTATTGATAACTCCACGATCTTCTTAAGATAAGCAACTTGCCTTTCTGTGACACCCGAAACCCGTATCCCGCAATACGAGTTGCGTCACATGGATAACTAAAATAAAACACAATTCCAAAAACACCCGAGAATTTAAAACTTTTCTTTTTAGAGTTTATCGGGAGAAAAACATTATTACATACATATATGATACATTATTCCAGAGATTATTATACATAACGAGTGGTAGCGATAACATTATTACAAACCGTAAAAGTTTACCACCGATATAACAGAAAACCGTTTTCCAAAAATATAATGTATTCATAAGTACGTAATTATATCGGTAGTGATAAGCTGCCTAGGTCTCCGATGTCCGATCCGCGGCTACTGTTGCTCAAGAATCCATCTACACCACAATCACCCGGATCCGGCATAAATATATGTTTCTCCGCCCGAACACATCACCCCACCCTAGCATCGATGTCACCTCTCGATATTAGGCGTGTCACCTCGCTCCGGTATTGATGTCACCTCTCAATACCGGAGTTCACTAGACATCGGCTACAACCGACGCCATCGACTATAATGGGAGAACCAATCGCTGCAACTCTCACTCGCCTACCATCCGCCGCGGAAATACTTGTCAGGTTTGTGCCCGAACCTAGCAGAGTAAGTCTGTACCACTTCCTCGAGAGACCCCAATCTATCCAAATCTCAGGTATGTGTAATGCCTCATCCTCGGGATAATCATATCCCAGAATTCGCTCTGTCGCTAGCAGAAACATTGGCGCGGTTACCAAGAACCGTATTTTCCTCGTTACGCAATAGTACCGACTGATTTTTCGTCCAGACCGATCGGTCTAGGCCTCGGTCCGTTCGTTCTCTCAGTTTCGGTCTGGTTTACAGTATCGGTTTGATTTCGTTCCAGACCGGTCGGTCTGGCCTCAGGCCGGTCGGTCTAGGCTTCAGATTTCACCAAAAACACTCAATCATGCCCGATTTGCAATGGGTAATACACCAAAACTCATATAATTTATGTAGAACACAAATCAAGCATCAATTTCGCACGAATCACACAAAAACCCAAACCCCATGTCAACAGACTTCCGAATTAAACTCGAATTCACTCACCTCGAGTTAACCTCGTGATCTGGGTGACGGATAGGAAGCTTGGTGATGCTCCTCGTGATCTGTAGAAACCAATTTGAGCGTAAATGCTTTGGATTCGAGAGAGAATTCCGAGTTTGAAGGATGATGAACAAGTGAGGGGATGAGGGGTTAATTAAAGGCTCGGATTTGGACAGATTTGTGTGAAAAATCCGGATCCAGGGTGGAAAATACGTGTCTTAGGGTCCATAGGGTCGGAAAATTGAGTTTTCTGGTCGGATTTTGGTGCGTACCGGTCGTTTTCAGGTCAAATCCGGACAAGAAATCGCGACTTTCGTCGTTGCCCAGCGTCTGGACCGATCGGTCCGGATCGCTGTGCTTGTTTGTTCTTGCCGACAGTCTGGACCGATCGGTCTAGGCTCTGGACCGTTTTTCCTCGAATTCGAACGAACTTAAGTTGAAAGTTACATGCCAAATAGATGTGGGTAATGATCTTGGATCTCCTTCTCCGGTTCCTAAGTCATGTGGAGACTTCTTGGCTCCGCCATAAGACTTTGACTAAGGGGATCTCCTTATTCCGTAGTCGCTTAGTCTTATGGTCGATGATCTGCAGCGGCTCATCACGAAAGGGAACGTTGTGGGTAACCTCAATCTCCTATGGCCATAAAATGTGGGATGGATCTGCCACGTATTTTCGTAACATGGACACGAAAATGCATCATGTATATTGCCAAGTTCTGTCGGTAACTCCACTCGATACGCCATTGCTCCCACTTTTCCAATTACTGGATACGGCTCAATATAACGAGGCTTGAGCTTATCCGTTTTTTTCGAACCTTGCATGTCCTCGAATTGCCTGTACTCGAAGGAATACTTGATCGCCCACCTCTAGTTAGAAATCCCGCTCCTTTTATCTTGAGCGACTTTCAGGTTAACTTTGATATTTCTGATAACCTCAGTCGTCTCCTCACAATTTCAGACCCAAAGTTTCGTCGTTCTCCGATTTCCGTCCAACAAAGTGGAGTCTTACAAGGCCGCCCATACAGTGCCTCGTAAGGTGGCATGCCGATGCTAGCATAAAAACTGTTGTTGTACGCAAATTCGCACAACATCAGGTGTCGATCCCATGGAATTCCCCAATCCAGTATATATGCTCTCAACATATCTTCGAACGTTTGGATAGTCTGTTCCGACTCTCCATCCATCTGTGGGTGATATACCGTACTCATCTTCAGCTTCGTTCCCAATGCATCATGTATAGCATTCCACAGTCTTGAAGTAAAGCGAGGATTTCTGTCAGAGATAATCTCACTCGACACTCCGTGTAGTTGGACGATCTCATCCACATAGATCTGTGCCAATCTCTCAACTGTGTACTCTTGTCGGATCGGTATGAAATGTGCCGTTTTGATTAATTGGTCCACAACCACCCAAATTGCATTCTTCTTCGTCGGAGTTGTTGGTAATCCGACCAAAAAATGCATTGCTATAGAGTCTCACTTCCACTCTGGAATCTCTAATGGTTGCAACTTTCCTCCAGGCATTTGTCGTTCAACCTAAACTAGCTGACACGTCAGACATCGCGTAACAAAATCTGCGACGTCCTTCTTAATGTCGGGCCACGTATACCACTGTCGTAAGCCTCGATACATCTTGCTAGCTCCTGGATGAATTGCTAAT